TTGATATATTATCTGTTACACAACCACAATGAAAATCCTAGTTTGTTGGACCCTTTAATTAGTTTCCCATCTCCCTATGGATAAGACACCCCAAAGCTATACTAAAATCACCGCGTTACACTTTGGGCGTAATCAATATACAAATTCAATTTTTCCCATTTTTAAATCAATATCCCTAACCAACAATACTTGGGTGTCCTTGATTTTATATCTAATATCCCGTAATCAAACAATATCGTAAACAAGTAATAAAGTGGACGTGAGTTCAAATATCGATCCCATGAGGATTAAATATCTAATTTGGTTTCAATTAACCTAACTCTAATATAATATTAAAAAAATTGTAAATGGATTATTTTATATTAACAACCTTAAATAGTGTAATTAATAAACTAACTAAATGATAGGGAATCAGTTATGAATATTAAGTAATTTGTAAGCACTTGGATTCCGAATCCCCCTATATTATTCCACTTTGATATCAATACCAAAAATTTAACTAGTCATTTGAACTTGAAGATTAATCTATATTGTTCAAAAAAATTTTCTAAGTAGAATAAAACTTATCCTCGCAGCTAAGCTAGTAATATCCCTATCACGTATATGAATATATGAAGATGCATTAAATTATAAAACATTAATGAGATTACACAAATTATAGACTATTAGGTTTAAATTGTATTAGATATTAATGATTATTATAAAAGAGTTGTAAAAGTCAATGAGTCTTTTGGAATGTTGTATTGATGAATTAAGAGTCTTTAGATTCGAGTTTCAAATATAGAGAAAGAATTGTTCGAATTATGCTATTCTGTCGCTAAGCGGATGCTCTTGCATCCAAAACAAAATCATTATCCCCTACCTAACGCTCAATTGTCGCTAGAGTGACGCACTTGGCATTTGAGCAACTGTGTTTTTTGAGAAACCCTAGTTTGCGATTTTCAAGAGTTCTATCTTTTCATACTATCCCAATAGATCTCTACTATAAATATGAGTCCCACTTTGTGAAAACAGAGGTTGATCATTATTTTTTACATTCATAACATTATTTGGAGATCAACCAATAATTCTACATCTTGATATCAATCAACCAAAACTTGGAAAAAAAAACATCAAAATTATATAATCCAAAATACTAACTTTTAATATAATCAGGAACGTACTTTCTCAATAGACTTTAGAGGCTATTGAAGATTAAGGGGAGATTGGATTAGGAGCATAGAAAGAGTACAAGTATAAGGCGTTCTTGGTGATCCATAGAAGATAGATAATTCCAGAAGATCAGAAACAAGTGTGAGTGAAGCACGTTCCAGTGATATTAGAGATTGCAAGAATTAGATCAACAAGTCTAGTGGGTTTTCTAGGATGATCCTATTGTAAGTTTTTATTCTCTATATTGGAAGTCATTATCTTGCTCCCGGAGTTTTTTTGGTAGTAACTACACCTATTGAAAAATTAGAAACAGAGCCTTCTGGAAATTGATGGATGAGCATAGTGAATGGTTGGACTACCCCTTCTAGCACCGTTAATAGTGTTGTCATCCCCATTCCTATAGCTAATTGGTCAAAAACTAATTTAGGTGAGTGTAACTAAAATAGTAAGGAATTACAAGCCTTATTTATGGCTATGTTACCAAAAGAATTTAAGCATGTGCTATGTTTGAGGTTACTAAAGAGGTTTGTGATCTTTTACAGACTATGCATGAGGGAATTCAGGCCGTTAAGGACTTTAAATCACAGATGTTGACCACCAGGTTTGAAGAAATTAGGATAAAGTATGATGAGACATTCTATAACTTCTATACGAGTTTAAATGACATAGTTAATTCTAACTTCAACCTAGGTGAGAGAATTCCTAAACCTAAGATTGTCAGAAAAATCTTTAGATCCTTACCCGAAAGATTAAGGCCTAACATCACAACTATTAAAAAGATCAAAAATTTAGATACAATTAAGATTATGAATTAGTTGGATCTTTCCAAACTTCTGAACTCACCATATCTTGACCTAAGAAGAACAAGTCTATAGTCTTGAACACTATTAGGGAAGAAGAGTACGACTTTACTAATACAAAGGTCATTAATGATGAGAAGATAGCTTATTTCACTAAAAAAAATTGAAAAATTTTTAGAAATAAGAAGAAGTCTCAAGCGAGACTATAGAGGTGCTTCCAGAAAGTCTAAAAGAAATTTTGATCTGTAAGACGTCACAAGGGTCAAGATTTTGGCCACTATAGGAATGAGTGCCCTAATAGTAAGAAAAATCAAGGTAAAG